TGACACCTGAGAGGCTTCAGCATGCTCCTGAGGAGACAGCAGTCCTGGCCCAGCCCCGCATGTCACAGGGCTCACCCGCTTTTCTGCAAGCTGAGCTTTTCGTTTTTAAGTAATGTGTGTAGGTTGCTGCCTGTCCACGTTACCCCAAGTGTTATCTCCTCCGTGTTTACTCATCTGGTAGGAAGAGCTCGTGTTAGCCGATGGAGGGGCTGCAACCTGGTTCAGCCACCTGTCTGCAATAACCGGTTAAAGTAGACCAGAGTAAGAAGCAGAAAGGGAGATTTATTTTCCGTGGCCATGTTGGGCAGAGGGACCCAGGAGTGGCATGGGGAATTATGGCCTGTGGCGGCAGGGTTCAAATAGGAAGAGGTGCTTTGCTGGGCAGCCCAGGTAACAGTGCTCCCTGCCCACCACTGGCTCACTGCCAAGTGTCCCCTGCCAGGTCATGTGGCTAGTTGTAAATTTTTCTCCTGGATCGAAGTTCCTCCCCTGACCAACCTCAGTGACATCAGCCTTCCTCTCCTGCAGGAGCTTCCCTGGAGAGATCGTTATTTCTTGGGGACCATTCTTTAGGTAGAGCACAAACCTCTCTTTAGAACACAGTCATTCCTCCAGACGGGTTGGTTACACAGAGTTCAGGTTTCCTGCTGGAAGGCTTTGCCACCAAATAGAAACTTGCCTTCCAGTGTGATTAGAAGTTCCTTACCTGTCTGTCCCTCATAAAGTCTCCAGTGCCTACCACAGCTCCAAACCACGGTTGCCTAGGTGGGTTTTATTCAGATGGCTCCTCCCCACCCCCTCTCTGGACAACACTGTGTAGCCAGCCATAGGCCCAGCGGCAGATGTGCTCCTCCCCACCCCCTCTCTGGACAACACTGTGTAGCTAGCCATAGGCCCAGCGGCAGATGTGCTCCTCCCCACCCCCTCTCTGGACAACACTGTGTAGCCAGCCGTAGGCCCAGCGGCAGATGTGCATAGGCAAAGTACTGATGCCACCACCTACTTTTAAACCCCCTCACCTGTTCCAACCTAGAAGGAAAAGAAAAATCAGCAAGGTTCCCTCTTCCCTGTGGTACACAAGTTTACCTTTGCAGAGGACGTCTCGGATGTTTCAAAGGGACACAGCATTTCAGTGTGGCCACAGGCGTCTACAACTCTAGGCTTTGGGAGGTGGGGACGGGAGCCTAAGTTCAAGGCCAGCCCGGGCTACGAGATATGGCTGCCTTACTTACAACTCACAAAAATGGGCTAGAGAGATGGCTCAGTGGCTAAGAATGGTGACTGCTCTTCCGGAGGACCCAGGATCAATTCTCAGCACCCACTGAGTATCTCACAATTGTCTGTAGCTCCAGTTTCAGGAGATCTGATGCCCTCACACAGACATACATGCACGCTAAGTACCAATGTACATAAAATAAAAATAAATCTTTTTTTTTTTTTTTTTTGACTCAGCTAGACAGTGGTAGGGCACACCCAGCACTCGGGAAGCAGAGGCAGACAGATCTTTTTGAGTTTGAAGCCAGCCTCGACAGAGCGAGTTCCAGGACAGGCTCCAAAGTTACACAGAGAAACCGTCTACAAACAAATAGACAGACAAACAAAAAGGTTCACAAAAGTGGTTTGCCTAGGGTGACCAGCATGGAAGGCTTGGTTGAGTGTCGCAGGTCACTGATGAGTGGAACAGGCAGGCATTTCTTTGCTTTGTGCTCCAGCAAAAATACCGAACCTTGGAAACCCACAGCTGTTCCCTGAACTGTGAGCGCCTGCCCTGTCCATCAAAGGATCCCGTCCTTCTCTGTCCTGAGTGTTCCATCCTTGGCCCCCAGCTAAGCATGAGGGTCCCAGTGCTTCCTTCACCTTTGCTTCCAAGCAGACATTCTTCCAGACAGTTTAGAATTCTTGCCAGGAGATGGTTGCTGGCCTTCATGGGTTTGTGGACATGAGAGTCTGTCTCATCCAACTCTCCTTTCCCTCATGGCATATTTGGTTATTGGGGTCTTCCTTTCCTCTCTGCCAACAAGATAAAAAGGCTGCCGGCAAATGCAGGCTTGTCACGGTGGAGTCGGCTGTGGGAATTCAAGTTGATTGGGTGGTTCTGTTTGGCGTCATTTTGGAGGCATCTCCCTTTCTTAGAACATCGTGTGGCGTGTTGGTGATGATTAGGCGAACCCTGTCTTCCCTGTGGATGCCAGGATCACAGAGGGACTACCTCTCAGCAGACACCTTAGAGTACACCGCTTCAGGCGTTTCTGAATTGCTAACTGGCGTTTTGCTTAGTAACTGCTGAGTAATGGCTGTAAAGTTCCTCAGCTGTCTGCTTCCTTCTCCAGTCTGAGTTTGTTTTTTAGCTACAGGGGCATCAACACGTACACAAGCCCCAAAGCTAGCTAAATCAGCGGAAACTCCCACCAATCCAATCCAGGCGTGGTTGAACCCCCAGTTAGTGGTGGTCCTGTCACTTTGCCCCCTTCCTTTTCAGTTCCTCTTTGATGGACAAGTGCCAACAGTGAGCTGCAGAAGCTGTTCTGACATTCAAGTGCCCATCTCCTTAGGATTCCTTTGTTCTCCTGAGTCCTCAAGTGTTTCTCTTCGGCATGTGTCTGGTTCTTTTGCACTGTTTTCCCTCTACCACAGGAAAGAAAAGCTAAACAGAGCCGTGGCCTCCCAGAGGGGTGTAGTGAGGGTTTTTTGTGAGCCATGCCCTCTGTAGGAGCTGTCTCTGGCCCTCCTGGCTCAGCCCACAGACACCAAGGCAGCTTCCTGCATAGACCTCCCCAGGAGGCCTTGCTTGAGACCCTGGAGGGAACTCCAGCGCATAGTGTCACAGGTGGCCCCGCCCCTTCTGCAGAAAGGGGAGAGTGGTGATTAGTGCCTCTTCTTCTTAATGATGACATTCCCAGAGGATGCTGGGCCTTTGTGGAGGGAGGGGGCTGGGGGCGATTGCTGTGACTCTGTACTGCTATGGTGTGGCTCGTGTCCTAGTTTCAGGGCCCATGGCCAGTCCTAACTAGATGATGACATACTAGGTGCTTAGGTACACTCTGGGTGCTTCCTCCCAAGTTGTTCAGGCCATGTGCTCAGCCTCTGTTCTTGGGGAATGAAATATGTCATCTTCCCATCATGCACTAGTTTTCACAGCAGAATAATTAACACCAAGGGGGACCAGGGAGGGGTCTGAATTAGGTAATACCCTGCCACTTGTCCCCAGGCACTTACAGAAAGTCAGGATTGGGACTTGGGGAACTTAGTCCCCCGATGATTAGTGTCATAGTGATGTTAGACTGTGATTCTTAGCTTGCATTGCGAAGGGAAATGCCTGATCCTTTTCAAAGGACTCATCTGTGTGTTCGTGCTGGATCCCGCCTTCGGGAGCCACGCAGAGGACATGGAACAGTGTCTCTACCTGGCCATGGTCCTCGCGGACAATGGGTCTGGGGTTTATTTTAGCTTTTCATCCCTCGGGACCTAACAGACCATTATTTTATAGGCCAAAGTAAAAGTGTCCAGTGGCTTCACAAAGCAAAATACTGCCAGAAAAAGTCCTCGGCCAAACCAGCCTCCACAGAAAGACGGGGATCTTCTTTTCCTCAGTTACTGTCTTTGCTTCTGACAAAAACATCCTTCCTTCTGCTCCTCAGATCTGTCACCAGGGAAAATATGATGAGGGTGCTCAGTCCGGCAGAGGAAGATTGTCCTAGCAATAGTCCCGAAAGGGCTGAAGCCATGGAGCTGTCTCACAAGGGGGGAGGGGTGGATACCCCGCCCTGTGTGACAGTTTATGGGATTCTCTTACTCAGTCACGTGCCTGCTGGGAAGATGGCTGAGTATGGAGCTGTGGTGCCAAGTTTCTACTGCCGTGTCCTGCTCTGCTTCCCAGGACAACCAGCAGTGTCTCCACGGACAACAGAGTTTTCTGTTGTCTCAGGCCTGTCATGTTGATTTCCTTTAACTTCATCTTTGAGGATCCTTTTTTCTTTTTTTTATAAGATTTATTTATTTTTATTGTATGTGTTAGGAGTGTTGGCATACATGTGTGGTTTATCACATGTGTGGTTCCAGAAGAGGGCATCTGAGCCTCTGGAATTGGAGTTACAGTCAATTGTGAGCTGCCATGTGGGTGCTGAGAAGTGAGCCCCAGCCCTTCTGAAGAGCAACCAGTGCTCTTAATTGGGTTCCCTGGACTCCAGTGCTCTGGGAAGACCTCCACTGATGACTGTGGAGACAGAATAATAATTATGTTAACAAGATATTCTGTGGGAGGCCAGGCGGTGGTGGCGCACACCATTAATCATAGTACTTAGGAGGCAGAAGCAAGCGGATCTTTGTGAGTTTGAGGCCAACCTGGCCTACAAAGCAAGTTCCAGGACAGCCAGGGCCACACAAAGAAACCCTGTCTTGAGGGGGAAGAAAAATGGTGTTCTGTGGGAATTTGTTTTTGTACATGTTGTTGTTTCAAAAAAGTTTGAAAGTCTGAGCCAGAGCTGTTACACAGAGAAACCCTGTCTTGGGAAAACAAACAAACAAAAACAAAAACAAAAAAAAGTAGAATTCCTAAGATAGCTCACTTGGCATGACTTGGTCCTCCACCATGGGATCTCCCTAAGCCATGGCTGCCAAGTAAGATGAGTTCACCCTGGGCTGATCAGGAGAACCGCAGAAGTACTGCCGTGTGCTCGGGGTGACCAGCTTGCTCGTCCAAAACCTAGACCAGAGCCCCATCCACACCGTGGCTGCCCCTAACTTAACAAGACCCACGAAAAACACCCCTGTGTGCCTTTGTTGGGGTCATTCCAGAGTACAAGATACCAGCTCCTTTGGGCTTGTTAGCCTTAGGATGCTGTGATAAGAACTAAGGTAAGCGCTGATCTCAATTTCAGACCTGGGAGGCTTAGCCTGGGCTCTGCGCTCAGGCGAGCAGGGGGGTGATGCAGCACCCCGCAGCTTGCTTCCTGTCAGTTTCAGAACACCCTTAAGAACTCTGGCTTTCTTTTCTCTTCTAGACCCTCACACTGACAGAAGACCTACAGAGAAAACCCTTTGCCAAATCTGCTCCCAGCAAGTGGACAGTGATACCGTTTACAGCTTGACACCTTCGTGAATCCCACGCCATTTTCCCAACCCAGCAGAGACTGTTAGCAGCCCTGGCCCTGGGTGAAGCCCTTACCCGTGGAACAGAACTCTATAATGTATGCAAAATCTAACTCTGAGTGACCTGCCAGCGAGGACAGCACCCTTCAGCACCCCCGTGTTTTCCTTCTGAGCTCAGCGGGTGCCCCAAAGGCCATTCTCCAGTGCTCCACTGTCATGGTGGTTTCTGGGATAGGTTAAGCTTTGTTTTGTGTTGGTTTCCCTTGGACCCTCTGAGTTTTTTACCCATGGTAACTTGCAGTATTTTTCTGTTGAGAAGGCTAACCGCCCCTCCCCTAGCACACTTAAAAGCAGGAAAGCACCAGAACCAGTTCTCAGGCTGGCTTGGAGCATCACAAGCTTTTGAGCCCACGGAACTCCACAAACCTAACACATTACATAAACTAAAGGGGGTTTTCTTTTTCCTTTTTTGTTTGGTAGAAAATTATCTTTTTTTAAAAAAAAAAAAACTGAACAATGGCACAATTGTTTCCTCTGCGCACCCGTCCAGAACTGAACTACGCGTAGGCAAAGCAAATGGAGTCAGGCATCTGACCCAGAAGTTTCCCGTTCTGAGTCGGGGTGGTCTGTGGACGGGGACTCCGGGGCCCACCCTACAGCTGCCTGGTCAGTGTAGGGCTTCTGGTCCCGTCCTTCGCCGCAGCTAATGCAGTAGACAGTGTCTGCTCTTAGGAACCAGGACCTCTTCAGGAAAGTTCAGCTACTGCTCATTGCCAAATGCCACTAGGGGCTTAGTTTCAAGGAGAGAGAGAAAAGGAATATGAGCCGGTTTGCTTCATAGAAGGTAGGGGATTACTGGTGAGCCATTAGGTCATGCCGTGAGGAACGTACGAAATAGGCAAGCCAAGTCTGCACCGAGGCAGGCCCGACTTCACTGTTTTTGAAACATGCACATCTTTTGATTACTTTCAGCCTTGCTGTGTAGACTCTGATCTTTCTAGAAGTGTGTGAGTGACAGGCAATAGCATACAAGGTGATATATATATAAGCTTAGGTTGTAATTGTACAGGTGACACTTGGAAATACAAGCTAAGGCCATTTAAACTTTTTTTTCCAAACTTTCTGCTTCTGTGGATCTCATTTTTTGTTTTGTTTTCAAAAAGTTGTGGTGCTGTATAGGTGCTTTCTGTTTAACCTGCAAAGTGTGAGTGTACTCGTGACACCTTTGGTGGACAGTTGGGGACACCTTTGGTACGTAAGAAACTGGTGTGGTGATGCCCTGGTTAGCACAGCATACATGCACTTCTCCAAAGTGATATACGAAGACTCTTTTCTTGCATAAAAAGCATTAGGCATATAAGTGTATAAATATATTTTATCATGTACAGTACAAAAATGGAACTTTCTGCATGGTGTTAGGAATGTGGGCTAATGTTCCAGCACGGTTTCCCTGCTCGAGTTCTTGCTGTTGCTCGCACTGTGGCAGTGGGCACCAACACAGGCGTACCACCAGCCCCCTTGTGCACCTCTGCTTTCTGACTCCCCTGGGGATGACGTCGGTGGCAGTCACAGCTCCTAGCATAATGAGAGTTCCATTTGGTATTGTCACACGTCTTTCCTGCCTCGCCTGGATCATCACATCTGAGCAAGGGCCCTGTCGATTTCAGTCCGCCTTCTCCGGAATCCGGACATTGTCACGCAGTTGTGGCTGTACTAGACCTCTAGCGCATTGCTTTATCCAAGCTGCTCCGCGTTTATAGTCTTCATTTTTAAAGTCTGATTTTGAAAATGTGTGTAGTAGTCACGTGGTCTGCTTGCCAGCAGGCCGTACCTGCTTATTTCATTCCTTTACGGTGATGTTAGCCACTCCCCGACTCTTCAGGAGTCCGCTGTCCACGCGACCTGTGTCATTTCAGGCAGAAGGCTGGTGGCCTCGCTTCCCAGGGTGCTGCTTCCTTGGTGGGGTGCATGGGGGTAGCAGCTGAGGGAGCGGAGAGAGCTCAGGTACAAGGGAGAACCCCAAGTGCTTCCAACAGGAGGGCCCTGAGAATTCTCTCCCGAGCTTAAAGAAGATAGCTGCTGGGCTGTGCAGTTTACAGGCGCTGGGAGTGAGAGAGGCAGCCCTCCAGTGTGTGCCCCTAGTTTGAAGACGCTGAAGTCCTTTTAGACACGTGGCTTCTCATTTATTTTCTTTCCCAGTGTTCGTTGGATGTCAGGCGCCAAGTTTCACAGAATGTCCTAGAAACAGATTATAAGTTGAAGCAAGGGCAGTGTGAGGCCAGGGTAGGCTCAGCAGATCAGAAAAGCAGAGGCAAAATGCTTGGCTATAATTTACCTTGTAAAATAATACAGAGTTGTGTGGAGAGCTGAGGCCTGCCAGGCCCAGGACCCTTGCACACTCACCCTCAGGGGCCCTACACCAACAGGCCGTGCTCCCCTAAGAAGCCCAATTCTATGGTAGTCAGAATCCACAGAGGTGAAGCCCGGGTCCTCTGCACCTGCTGTGGGAACCCTGCTTTCATTGTCTGCCGAGTGCTCTGCAGAGAATCTGAGCAGATGAGCACATGAGCTCCCAGGCTGGGCCAGCTGCCGTGATGGCATCCTGATGAGAAATGGCTGTGTGAACCTTCATAGGGAGTCCTGTCCACTGGTGACAGGCAGTAGTAGACAGCGGGGTGCCGACTGTTGAAGACTGAAGCACTCTCGGGCTCCGTGGTTCTCTTCGTCACCAAAGCTAGAGAGGAGCATATGCAAGCCCTCTCCATCCTGGCGTTGGGCTCCTTACTGAGTGCATCTGAGGTGGGCTTCCCCTTGTCCTCTGCATGTAATGGCTGCTAAAGCCCATAGGATTTTGTTCCTAAGTCTCCTGCTAATGGAGGACCATGCACACAGGGGGAGCACAAAACCTTGTTTCTAGGTTGACGATCAGCATCGTGTGTGCTGCTGTCCCAGCCAGAAGAGAGGACATCTTGGCTCACTCCCCAGGAGAGGCTATGTCCCCTCTCAGGTGTGACTTCAACCTACTTCCAACCCGCGTACATGTTCAAAGTCACAGGGACAGCAACTTTGCCTTTTCCTAAGGAGCGCCAGCCGCTGAACGAACAAGCAGCATTTGAGTCTTTTGGAAAAGCCCTTCAAGAGTAAAGCAGAGAGAAAGCAAGCCTTCCACCTGTCCCTTGGACTGAGGGGACACAGAGACAGTTCCTTTTTCTCTCTAAAAAACCAAAGGTGATACAGAATGGGTTCCCTTTTTCTTGATGTTTCTGGGGGACAGCATATGATCAGGCACAATAATGTTCTTTTTTCAATTAAAAGCAGACCTTTTGTAGAAAAGCAATCACGGGTACAGGGGTACAGTGAAGTCAGCTGTGGGAGCGGGGACAGCAGGGGCCCAGGCCATGAGGTGGGAAGGATGTCTTGTGGGATCCTGTCTGTCAAACATGACCTGAGAGCCTGGGTCACTGACAAGAGTGTGTGGCATTTTAACTAAATCCTCAGTGTGTAACAGGCAGATTCGATGAATGAAGCATTTTCTCTTGTTGAGTTTTATGCATTTGTATTTTTCTTTCATGAGTTATGATTACAAGGCCTCTGCCACACTCCAGGAATACTTGTGCAGCTGGTAAAAAAAAAAAAATGTATGTGTCTGGTCACTTATTTCTCTAAAGTTATCTCCTTGCCTGGCAATCAGCCTTGTATACTTGTCCTAGCATATCATGTATGTGGGAAGTGTGCACAGATGTGAAGGAGACTAGAAGAATTGTGAAATGTCTTGTGCATTCGGGCTTCACATGTTTAACTTTTTTTTTTAAGAAAAAAAAGTTGCATGAATGAAAAAATAATTCTGTATACAGTTTCTGTAAAAATGGCTTATCTGTTTTGATTTCTTGCTTCTGCCCCCGCACAAACTAGAATTTAGTGTGGCGTGTGGCCATATTCAAACACCTAAGAAGCAGTTCATCGTTGGGTTCGAAGCAGCTCATCCTCGCAACGCTACCACTATTGTGCTGCATTCTGAGTCCTGAGGACCTTGTCTCAAACATTGCCATGAATTAGCCCTACCGCCTTTCTTCTCAAGGATCAACCAGTTTGATTTGCAAAACCGCCCCTTTCCAGAGATGCTTACTTCCCTGGTGTCTGTAGATATTGCCTGTGTATTCCATTTACAACCATAATCTAGTTTGTAAAAGCAATGGTGACGCATGTAAATAAAGCATTGATGACACTCTACTCCCTGCCCAGCTGTCTCTGTCGTCCTCACTGCCCTGTGGCAGTCTTCCCATGAGATCACTTCCCAGGCTAGGAGAGGCAGAGACCTGCGAGGCTATTACACTTCTCCATCCCACTTTTGACCTCCACAGACAAGCAGACAGTTGAATACAGCACATTTACAGAGTTATTCACGCTGGCTAATGGCCGGACTTGGGGTGTGCTGAGTTACGAAGTCCCAGAGAAGCTGTTAAGTGTGAAGGCAGGAGTCAGACTCTGCTTAAAGGAATGACTGAAGAAGTTCTCCTCCCATGAGTCCAGTGAGTAGCCACTGGTCATCATCAGGGCCCTCCTGCACATGGAGGCGAACCTCCAGACTGGTAGCAGCAGAACCAACACTGTATGCTCACTCCTGGCTTTGTCAGTGCTGCTGGGAGGAACAGAACATTGCAAGACTATCCTTAGTTGTCTCTATCTTTTCTTTAATTAATAATGCATGTTCTAAAAATTACCACACTTGGAGAAACCCCCAGGAACTAGTTTAAAGGTCCTAAGATATAGCCTGGTTCATATTTTGGTTTAAGGAGGTGGAAGGTTTGCAAGTTGGGCTCTTGGGGTAAGCCCTGCCTCCGGTCTGTTTCTCTCCTGTTACTGAACCTTTACAAAGGGAAAGAAAGAAAGCCCTTGTATCCTCTGGCATCCAAGTGGGGAAGGCATTTTCACCTGACATAGCATCCCTGATTGTGTTCCCAAAAGATGAGAGAGACCTCTAATGGCAGTTGCTACAAGACTTAAGTTCTCAAAGCCAACAAACAGTTAAAATCCCTTCAATGATCACTAGGTTTCTGTGTGGCAGTAGCCAAACCTTGTGACGCCCTCAGGAGAGCTCTATGGCCTGGCCCCAGCCTTGCCTGTGATATGCACTGGGTGTGTTGTGTCCCTGCTGTGCCCCCAAATCAGCCAGGGCCGGATGATGGGGGATGATGGGTCCTGCTTCCACATCTGATGTAAAAGAAAAGTCCCTCTGAATCTGATTCATACTCAGGTGGTCTGGGCAAGGCTTTCAGCCATCAAAGGCTCTGTGGACACACACCATCCAAGTCATTCCACAGCTGCAGGTCAGTGGGCCAACAGCAGGGAAAAGTGGCATTTCTAGCCAGTAACCAAACTCGCGAACACAGCCACTCCTGGAAGCAGGGGGAGTAGGGAGGCAGCTTGTGGCGGGGGAGCTGCCCACAGAACTCTGGGTATCTCTCACCTCGGGGTTGTGGGCACGAGCAGGCATAGGGATGAAGAGGAAACACTCGTGGGACACGCTCCATTGGAGAGAGCAATGGTCCTGGCCCAGAAGCCCGCACTCTTTCAGGACTGGAGGAACAGTTTCTTCTAGATTTCCCTTACCAAGAACAGAAGTTGAGGGCTGAAGAGATGGCTCAGGAGTTCAGAGCACTGGCTGCTCATCCAGGGGACCTGCTTTGAGTCCCAGCACCCACATGGTAATTCCTGTTCCGGGGGTTCTAACACCTGGCCTCTTGAGGTACCGAACATGCATATACATAGTGCACAGACAGGTACGCAGGGAAAGTGTCCATACACAAATAAAAATAACCATTTAAAGAGAATGCAGAAGGGCAATGCTGTCAGCATGAAAACCTGAATACGTTGTGTGCATATGAGGTTCTGCCTAGGGACTGGCATGTGGTAATAGCTCAGCTGTTTCTCCTCGTCCTCTGAAGATTTAGTGCAGGAAGCATGTCCCCATGCTCCTGAAGAGAAGATCTTAGTGCCTTTCTTGGGTTGGCACAGACTCTGTGGTTCATTCATCTGCAGCACCTACTGCGTGCCGGGCATCCTGTTTTCCATAGTAAGATGAGCTAAAGGGGCCGAGCTGAAATGTTCACCCCGGCTGAGTCCCTAAGGGAATGAATTCCACAAATGATACAGAAGAGGGGGACACAATGGCCTGAGAGCTGGACCAGCCGAGGAAGGACATGGCTGGAAAGACAGACGGCTGGGCTCTCTGACATCAGAATTTAGGCGACAAGGGAAGGTTAAGACTGGCTCAGGAGAGAGTGACTAGTGGGCATACTTGGGACTTGGTGTACTCCATGAAACAGGAACTCCAGCCAGAAAAATAGGCTGCCAGAAATTCCAGACCAAGGAGCTCCGCCTCTTCAATAGAGCGGGAGCCAGCAGGGCAGTGACCTGAACAGAGTTGACCTTTAGAAAGGCAGAGAACCCAGGGTGTGCTCTGGTGGAGTCTAGGAGGGTGAAGAAAGGAGAAGCCATAATAACTGGAGAGCTGTTTCAGCATGGCCCCCACAGGACAACTATTCTGTGGTCCATCAAAGTAGTGGAGAAAACTACCTCAGGTCTCAAGTGACTGCAGCATCAATCTCTCACGTCCCTCTTGCTAGCCCAGCTGAACAGCCATGACGGAATAAGTAGACTCAAGGCAAAGGCGGGGAGGGAGGGGGCAAAAAGAGTTTTGCTTTCAATGGTTCTTTCTGAGGAGGGGGTGGCTTGAGACAGGGTTTCTCTATGTAACAGTCCTGGCTGTCCTGGAACTCTGTGGACCAGGCTGGCCTTGAACTCAGAGACCCACTTGCCTCTGCCTCCCAAGTGCTGGAATCAGAGGCACACGCCTCCACCACCGCTTTCAGCCCTGCTTTCAGTAGTTCTTGTATTCTAGTGTGACTTATCCAAGGAGGAGTGTGTCATTACTTGTATGAAGATAGCAACAAAGGCATGGAGGTGAGCTGGCTTTGACTCCAGGACTGGAGCAGATATATAAGTGGGTGGAGGGTGCTGGGGACTAGAAGTGAAGATAGCGGGATAACTCCACTGTTTCCGTGCTGTGTGACTGTGACCGCCAGGTGACTGGTGCAGTTGCAACCCTGTGTCCTCATAGCCTGGTTTCCTTACCTCCTGCCCACATCTTAGATACTACAGTAAGGAAGTACCTGATCAGAACAAAGGGATATTATACAGCCATTAAAACAATCATGGAAGCTATCCATCTACACAGGAAAATGTTCCTATCAAGTATTCTTAGAAATGTGTGTTTGTAAACCTTACATATTTATATAAGAAAAATAATAGCCAGAATTCAGGTAGTATGTACTAATATAAAACTGGCTGGAGAGAAAAAAAATGCAAGGTAAAATATAAAAATAGAAATAATTCCTGTCGGGCTGGAGAGATGGCTCAGAGGTTAAGAGCATTGCCTGCTCTTTCAAAGGTCCTGAGTTCAATTCCCAGCAACCACATGGTGGCTCACAACCATCTGTAATGGAATCTGGTGCCCTCTTCTGGCCTGCAGCATACACACAGACAGAATATTGTATACATAATAAATAAATAAATATTTAAAAAAAAAAAAAAAAAAAAAGAAATAATTCCTGTCACCCGTCTACACAGAAAATGTTCCTATCAAATGCTCTTAGAAATGTGTGTTTATAACCTTACATATTTATATAAGAAAAATAAAATGCAGAATTCAAGTAGTATGTACTAATATAAAACTAGCTGGAGAGAAAAAAATGGAAGGTAAAATATAAAAATAGAAATAGTTTCTGTCGCCAGGCCATGGTGGCCCATGCCTTTAATCGTAGCACTCGGGAGGCAGAGGCAGGTGAATCTCTATGTGTTCAAGGCCAGCCTGGTCTACAAGAGCTAGTTCCAGTACAGGCTTAAAGCTATAGAGAAACCCTGTCTTGAAACTCTCCCCCCCCCCCAAGAAAAAAAAAAGGAAAGAAAGAAAGACAGAAAAGAAATAATTCCTGTCCCGGCTTCTCTGTGAGCCACAGCACCTAGTAGGATTCTGCTGTAGTACCATAATTGATTTAAACCAGGCTCCCCCATGGGTAGACATGACACTGGATTGTCCCCAGCTACTCCTTGTTCTCAACAGCATTGCAACAAATAATTTTATACATATGTTATGTCACACATGTTCCAGGAATCCTGGAGGACTAATGCACAAATGTGAAATTCCTGAGCCAAAAGATATATGGATAGTAATTTTGACAGAAGTTGGCCCAACTACCCTCCAGTGGACTAGCCAGGTCCCAGCACACAGTGAGAATCTGTTTCCTCACCAACTCATAATTTTAGTAGTTTAAAAATATAGTTGTGAACTGTGTCATGCCCCCCTCCACTGGAAACTTCTTAAGGCCACACCTAGGCAAGGCAAGAGTCAAATGGGTCTCAAGGGACAAGTGAGGATAGGGTGGCCGTCTCAAGGGATGCTCCTGAGCCACCCGACACAGCTAGGAAGGGGGAGGGAAACTGTCCTGAGCACTCGGTGATTTCAGTGCCACACGGGGAAGTCTCTAGCTGCCAACCTGTCCATCCAGTCTGGCCACAGTCTCCTCCCCTCACGCCACCAGCTTGGACTGCATTGCCTCAGGGTCAGCAGCCTAACCTCCCAGCTGGCTTCCCTCATCTCCCAGAATTCCAGAGGGACGCCATCACCCAAGAGAAACAAGTCTGGTCTCTTTGGCTGCAAACAGCACGCGCGGACTTATTTGCAGTGAGATTACACAAGCAGTTGGAAGATTGCACTGCCGTGTTTGAGAGATGAGCACTGCTGGGGGCCGGCCTGCCAACCTCTGAGCAAACCTATTTCCAAAGGTTCTGCAAGGTATTCTAAGGCTAGGAGCCCTCAAGCGCTCACTGGTTGCTCTTCCCAGTAGGAGGGGGTGTTGTTATCCAAAGGAGACATTCTCACACCTTCCCACTGCCAATCCTGTGGGTTGGTGACACAGACAGGGACAAGATGCTGGGGTAGGAATACGCCACACACACCTCTGCAGATGGCAAAGCTAGAGTCAGCAGGGAGGTCTGCCTTGAAATAGGACCACATCCTTTTCAGCCTTGCCCTACCAAGCTCCAACAAAAAGATGATTAATGTCCTTAGTGAAATGGAAGCAAGGCTGAAGGGCCATGCATACGACACGTGTGTGCCCAGATGTGTCTACATACCCTTCAAGCAAGTTCTGAGCAAACACTTCATCCAA